CCAAACAATACATGACATTTAAGAATTATTTTATTTGTTACAAAATATTGTGACGGTATGAATCGCAAAATACTTCACTAAAAGATAATTTTCATTAATGTTCTACCTCAAACACGATATCAATATATACAAAGAAATTACATCATGTTTTGTTTTTAAAAGATAATTGTAACTAATTCACATTACAATAATATTATTATTGGTATTTTAACCATTGATAGGTTATATATTATACTACATAATACTAGTATTATTTAATCAATGGTACTACTCTTTGTCACAAAAGTGGTTCTATTTATATGTCTATACTCAACTGATTTAATTTGCATACTTATTTGGATTTAATTGGTCGATTCAAATAGTCATTCAAATGGTTTAATACAACTATCGATAAAATATAATATATCGCGTCGCTAAAATGTATATGCAAAAATAATTTAAAATAAGTGCATAACAATAACTATTATACTTACCTCGATTCTCCTTTATATTTATATGCCGATAACAATGATTGACGAATAAATGCAAAATTACAGAAAGACTGAAGAGTTAAAATTATTATGTAGCTACACTAATTACAAAAAACTTGTTTGAATAATGAATGGTGAATATTGTGAAATGCGCGTTTGTGTTATCATCGCATTAGGGGAACGAACACGAACAGTACGGCGGATTACGGACGATGGATACCTGTTGATCTCATTGAATAGTGATTAGGCAAACATTATTGTTGTGGTTCCACACGACCACACGACGTCTTCTACAATATTTTTTTCTGTGCACATATGACGTAACACGTATTCACATCACGTCACGTCATGTTTTCATAAATAACATGTTATATAGTTACCACTTACCACTGTCACTGTAGTACCGTACATCTTATCAAGATAAAATAATTAAAATTAGATACCCTTTAGATCATATTATACATGTCCATAATTACATATACATATAATATAATCTAAATGCAAAGTAAGTACTAAAGTACCTATTTAATTTATTTAAGAGAACGCTACATCCAAATTTTATCCGTGACGGCAAACATATGACATTGCGAATTTCACGTTCTGAATTACTCTATTTGACTCTGCTGTGTTTAATATTGGAACGAATTGACCTATTTTTCATTGATAATATATAATTAGAAAATAGGTATCATAAAACAATATTCATAATCAGTGGTTTTTTTAAGTTTTAATTTTATTGCGAGTTATAATCATTTTAAAATTGTAAATGGTTTGTACTTTTAAAAAA